AATAACAACCGAGAGCACGAAAGCTTACCTAAATATCCCGGTGGATACCCAATTTCTCGCATTCTGTGAAGCCATGGAGGAGGGTCAAGTTCCTGGACAGGAAAATTTTGCTTAATCAGATAGCTCGTTTTCTCTAGTCGACTGAAATTTTCCAATAAAAGAGACGAAGGTTGAAAATTACCCTTAGACCAAGAAGCTGGCGTGTCTCTGCATCAAGTGAGCCAGGCTTCAAGCCATCATATTTTCCACCTTGAGGGCTCTGATAATATCGGGAGGGTAAACGGGATCCAGGTGTCTGATTTCTTTTGCTTTTATGTTGCCTCCGGGCAATACTAACTGCTGCTCGATCAAAAGGCTTTGGACATTCTCTCATGGAATGACTGTAAGCGCCGCAATTGAAGCAACGTGTGGGTTCATCAATAATCTCTAAGCCTCTGGAACAATAACGGAAATTCTTTCAAAAGAATGCATGGGATATGTACTAAAGCATCAATAAGTCATTCACTGTCATTAGGTAAACAAAATCAGATTTAAGGATAAAATCAGAAATGGTAGGAAATTACCCTTCCAAGTTATTAGAGGCATCAGCTGAATCTAACCCAATTGTAAATCCACGGTCATAAAGTGGAGTAGTGATACTTTCCACTGGAACAAACTCCTTTAAAGAATTGCGACCAGTTTGGCAGTCAAACCAGAATGACTGCACATCCAAGCAGAATGTGTCTATCAGTAAGGATTACATAAAACCTGAAAGCTTCAGGCTTTTATACGCTTGAAAACATTTCCACTCACCACAGATGATGTCTTCTGCAATCCCACACACAGAGCAGGAAAATATGTCTCCTCACCAGATTCTAGTACTTCTTCTTGATCCTGATCATATAGCAAAAGAAATGATTCTAGCTTAAGTTGTAACATTGTATAACAGACAGCAAACAAGTGTCCATATCATTTCTTGAATACTTCCTAAGTTTCATTTACAAGTATCTTTCAATCAGAACTTGAGATTGATCAACTTTTGCAAAACGATAGAATTCATTGTATGGACTATAAAACACACTTCATAAGACCCCAAATCATAGCTACCTGGGCTAGGGAATTTTGTTCTGCCTCCCATTCTGACCATTGCTGTAATAAACCTTCCAGCTTGTGCTTACTAGCTCTGAAAGATGCAGGACAACCAGAATTAAAACAAGTAGAACACCAACAATCATATAATGACAGCAATGCTTGAGGATTCAAATGTTAAAAGTTACTTGTGCTCGAGTTAAGAGGTCTTTTCACCATACCTTGTTAAATGTTTATAAGTAACATGGACTGAAGGTTGCTGTTCGTAAGAGGTTGTTCTGGCTCGTTTAACGCCAGATTTAGCTCACATAAGGAATTATGGAAAAGAAAGAAAGAAAACATAATCACATGCATTCAAGTCTCAGAGCTAATGACTACACAAACATGTTCAAATTCTATGTCAATTCAGTTTTTTTTTGTTTTAAAATTAACTATACTCGAAGGACTATCGTCGGAGCAAAGGTTTTATAAACGCAAGCATTAGCAACCTTTAACATAAAAAAAAGCAATATAAGGATACAACTAACATCCACTTTCACGGTTTCAACACTGACATTGACAGCATCCCTAACCTCGGCTATCGGAGTTTCCCCTAAAAACTGGCCAGAAACATTTCTGAAATCATCTTCTGTTAGATCCATGTCTTCCTCCATGTCTATATTCGTTTCCCCATCCACATCTGATAGAGTCAAAACAATCAAAAAACAGATATAAAAAACCCAAAAGCTTCTCTTTAACAAAATGGATTGACCTCAATGTGAACTTTTACCAGAATTGATATCATTTTTCTGAGGTTCCAAACCAGAACCGCTTGAAGCTGCCATATTTAAAATAAAATCTTCCACCAAAGATACCCTGCAAGCATAACAAAAGCATCACTAGCATGAATGAGCAAATCATAAACTAAGCAATATCAAGGACTTCAAACAACAGTCAGAATCCAAATGTACAGTTTAAGCAATTGCAAGGAACCATCAAGAAAACAATTCTATCCATAGTCGATTCAATCCCAACTAAATTTCTTTTTCCACAAAACAATTGAACCCCATGAAAAAAAAGGAAAGCTTGGAGAAACAAGAATCAAGAAAATCTATCGCCTTCTCTTTTCAATCGACATCTGAAAAAAGCATTAGGGTTGAGGATTTTACAAGAAAGATGAACAAGACAAACCAAGAATCTCCCCCTAATAAGCTCAATTGGAGACGTATAGCATAGAGTAAACTAGTGAGACCCAATTATAAAACTTGGAAATTGAAAGGAATATGAAACGACACGAAGCTCAGATAAAGAGAAAGAGAGTTTTTGATTTAAGATAATATGTGAGGTAGAATTTAGAGGGAAGGT